TGAATCCACTATAATGAACAAAAGGTATCTCTCATCCTCTCCCTGTATCACACAGTCATTAAATCAAGGCTGAGAAATGTTGGCATGCCAATGCATTTTGTAAGATCCAAAGTTACAGAAGGAGCCTAGGTACATGCTAAAAAAAAAGAGCAAACTCGGGAACTCTTGTCTTTTTCTCCTTCTCAGTGGAGTCCATGTGTGTCCCTCTAAGAGTCCTCCTTGTTTGCTAGATTCCCTGGGGTTGTGGATTGTAGGCTAGATATCATTTGCTCTATGTCTAATATATACTTATGAGTGAATACATACCATGTTTTTCTTTCTGTGTCTGGGTTACCTCACTCAGAATGGTTTCTTATAGTTCTTCTAAGCATCTAAGTCCCTCCCCTATAATGAGATTGATGACTACCTTAAATGTCATCATAGAACCTTCATCCAGTAGCAGATAGAAGCAGAAGCAGAGATTCACAGCTAAGTACTGAGCCAAACTCGTGAAATCCCGTTGTAGAGAGACAGGAGTGATGAGCAAAAGTGTCAAGACCAGGCTGAGGAAACCCACAGAAACAGCTGACCTGAACAAGGGGGAGCTCATGGACCCCAGCCCGATAGCTGGGAAACCAGTATAGGACTGAACCAGGCCCCCTAAATGTGGGTGTCAGTTAGGAGGCCTGGTCAGTCTATGGGGCCTATGGTAGGGGAACCAGTATTTATCCCTAGCACATGAATAGACTTTAGGAGCCCATTACTTATGGAGGGATACTCTCTCAGCCTAGATACACAGGGGAGGGCCTAAGTCCCACCCCAAATGATGTGACAGATTTTCATGATCCCCCCATGAGAGATCTCACCCTCCCTGAGGAATGGGTAGGGTTTAGGATGAGGAGATAATGGGGGGAAATATAGAAAGTTAGGATACATCAGAAAGTTATTACAGTGAAAAGAAAATAGAACTCTACTTGAGTGCTCATGTTGTTGGGGGCATGTACAAACATCTGTACACCCATAGAGGGTATTCATGGGCATATGAAAGAAATTATTTCAGTCCACTCTAACTTAGTGATCCAGTGACGTTACAGGAGTTACTTATGGGTGATGTGAAGGCAGATAAATCACTGAAAATCCCATTCAGGTATGGAAGATGACTCATGAATGCTATATCTTTGAGGTTCCCTGCATGATCTATATCAGCAAGCAGGGCAGTCTTCTCAGAAATTGTTTTACTGCTTTTATAATCTTGGGGAGGAATCTTGTGAACCTTGTTAAGTTTCAAGTACTTCCTAAGCCTTGTAAGTTTTCTTTCTTTCTTGAGTCTTATGAGCCTTTCTCCTCCCCCCAGAAGGGTACACTTCAGCCAGAATGATTTAGCTATGTATCATTCATATTGAAAATGCAAAACAAATCATAGTAGAAATTCAAACTTAAAAACTGAAGCACACCTAGAAAAGAGGGGTGAAACTGCAATCAACTGAAAAGAAAAAATCGAATCATTTTCCTGTATTTCTTCCAGGCACTGCAACAAGAGGATTAGAGGATGGTATAGCCCAAAATAACTAGAATGAAATATCAGTTGCATAGACGACTGCTGGTTTTTAATTAGGAAAGACTTTAAACACAAGAAAACAAATCCTTAAACCCATTATCAAGAATAAATCATGAAATTTTGCCTTAATTGCTTCAAATGTTTTGGAGGGATTTTGTTGTTATGTTTTTGTTTTTGTTTTTCCCCAAGGAAAGTAAAATGCTGCAGGTAATCCCAAAGTCCTATAACATATATAATATGATTCATGTATATCTTTTATTTTAAATACAATGTTAATTAAAATTTAATTCCTTTCCCTACTTTCAGTCCCTCCAATTCCTTCCATGCACTCCATTCTCAAATTAATAGTCTCTTCTTCCATTATTATTATTGTTACACACACAGGCACATGTGCATATGCGTACAAATATATAAGTACAACTTGATGAGACCATTTTGTGGTTAGTGTATGAATTGTCTCAGGCTAACCACGTTGTATTGAACAACCAGTTCACCCCGGAGAGAGACTAACTCTTCGTCTCTGTAGTACATTGCTTTTCAAGACAAAGAACAATTCTTCTGATTAAGGCTAAGGGTAGCATTTATCTGATCAGGCTGGTCCAACCCACAGAGGCAGCTGACCTAAATAAGGGGGAACACATGGACCCCAATTTGATGACCGAGGGGCCAGCATGGGACTGATTCAGACACTCTCCCACAGAACCTGGGTGACAGAGAGGAGGCCTTGGTAATCTGTGGGACCTTGGAGAGTAGAGCAATATTTATTCATGGCATACAGATGGACTCTGGGATCCCCTACCACATGGAGGGATGCTCTCTTAGCCTGGAAACATGGGGAAGAAACTTGGCCCTTCCCGGGATGATGTGACAGACTCTGAAAATCCCTCATGGAAGCCCTTGCCTTCCCTGGGAAGCAGAGGGGGAATGGAGTGGGGATAAAGGGTTGGGAGGATTGGGGGATGGGGGAGGAGAGGAGGGACAGGGAACTGAGAGTGACATGTGTAAAAAGTTAAATAAAATATATGAAAAAAATAGATGAGACCATGGAAGACAGCTTCAGGCTCACTTTCTTTTTCTTACTTTTTAATTAAGTTCTATTTTGCGTCCATCCCCAACCTATTCTGAAGAGATGTTGATGATATGTCTTGAACTCTATTACAAAACAAGAATGACAATACTGCAAGAAAAAGAATAAACTGTCCTCTCACAGGTTCCCAAACTCATGTTTATTTCAACATCAAGGTGAGTGACATAAGGATTAATTAATCTCTCTATCTTCTGCTCCACCCGCCAAGCTCATCATTCACACATTAGAGAGCTAAGGACCACCAGAAAGAACAGTTTCTAGAATTAAATTATTCCCTACTTCAATGCTTGGTTCCTGCTTGATCCAGGTGGGCATCTAAAATAAAAGTGTGCTGGAAAGATATAGATGATGACAAGTTACTTATTACCTAGCATTCTCTACAATACTATGAGTTTTATTTTTCTTATAACAAAAAAGAGACACTTAGAAAGGAAATGACATTCTCTTTACATTCCCTTGCTATCTGTTACATTTTCAATAAGAGGAGGAGGAGGATAAAGAGGAAGAAGATGATGATGATATGATGATGATGAAGATGAAGTAGAGCCCACCATCCACATGTGTTGTTACTATCTGACTGATGTCCATGGCATTGTGAAGCAAGTTAGGCATTATGTGCATGTTATAAAGATGAGTTCTTTGTTTATGCTTCCAGAATTTTAGCTTAATTAATTCTATACACACTTTGACTTTCTCGCTTAATAGGTCCTGCAATGCAAGCAAGCTGCTTCACAGATATCAACCAGAGAATCAACTGGCAGCTAATACTAAGCTGCCCCCACATGACCACCAGATAAAACACACAGATCAAAACAGCTTTAAACTTAAAAAGTCACTATGATTCATAGGCTGCATATGAAAACATTACTATGTAGGTATGGCCATACTTGTCCTTAATGGTATTCACAAGGCTAAAGCTGGAGGATTGCCATGAAGAAGGGAGATTCTGTGTACAAAACAAAACAAAAGCAGACAAACTAAAGGAAAACCCCGTCACAGTTACTGAAAGTCTGTACTTGCTATGACAGGTAGTAGTTTAGCCTAACAAAGTGCCTGTTTTCATAGATAATAAATAGATCAGCTGTGGGAACCCACAGAATTGATTCTGTTCAATATTGACTTAAGGTCATAGACTTTAAACCCACTCTTGCTCTTTCAAGCTTAAACAACAGGATGTCTGCCCTAAGGTATGGCTACTGTAGGATTTGTGACCTAAGATGTGGTCACTGGATGCCTTGTCTAAACAACAGAATACTTAGTTCAGGGAATGGTTACTTGGTGCTCCAGGTATTGAAGAGGTGATTACATCCTTGTTCCTTGTATCATTGATAAGGAAGTCTTTTACCACTGCCCCCACGTTTTAGATTTTTGTATATAAGAACATTGAGGAATAAACTTGGGGTGGATCACAGTATTCACTGTATGCCCTCCCAACTCTGTCTTCTGTCTTTAGTCTGATTCTTTTCTCGATCTGCACTCCCCTTCTCAGATGTGACCTGGACTAGTCAGCTGGACTGGACAATCAACACACATTACCCTCAGTCAATCAAAAAGATGCCACAACACAGAAATGCTACAGCCAGGCTTTAGAATGGTGCAACTATCTGCACAGTTATCCAGACTGGATACTCAGACAATTTTAAGCTATTTACAGTTCACAATTTAAGCCTTATATTTATGATAAAAATCATCCCTTAGATGATCTATCTTAAGAAGACTGAAACAATAAATAATGTGATTTGCAAATCAACATTTTATTCACAGATAACTTGAGGAATAGACTTTTGGCCATAAGATCCCCAACTTGCCCAAACGTCAGTATCTTTGTCTCCTCCATAGCAAATACTCCATCGAGGAAAGGGCTATAAGGAAAGACATTGGAAGCTAGGCAAACAGATGCAGGAGAAACAGCGAAGCAGCTCACAGAGACGCACTATAGAAAGACAAGCTTTCCTAACATCAAATGGGAAAATGCCTAATGGAAATGGTCAATTCTATTGTTTCCATCCATGGTTTTCAGAGGCAAAAGAACACAAGCTAGCAACATTGGTAAACTGACTGTCTTATTGAATTTCCGGAAAAGGATATTGATTTTTAAAGGAGAATTTAATTAAAGGCCTGAATTCACTTTCATAGCTAATATATTCACAGCACCATTGAAAATAAAAGAAACAGAATAAGAGAAGTACTCTGCAGAAGACACAGTTTCAAAACCTTATTTATGGCCTCTTATTTAATAAACATTGCTTTTTATTCTCTATTTGTGCCATCAAAGTTTGACCCATTCATGAGATTAAATAATTTCATAAGAGAATACATGTCTTGGGATTGAAATTTGCTTTTGCAACTTGTTCATAGCTTTAAAAATATACTTACCTCGACAAATATAAAACACGGGATGATGGAGTAACTGCGTTGAGTGTTGTTTCCTACAGCCATTTCTCAAACCATGTAGTGAGACTGTACTGTCTGAAACTGTCCAGGCTGAAATGGAAATACATTGCAAGGCATAAGAACTGTGTGTTGAGAAGTTCCTTAGGTGTGTACACAAAAGTGCCAGCCACCCTCTACAAGGGCAGGCTGAGTACAAACAAGGCAAAATACTGATCTACAACACAACTGAGCTAAACTACTAACCAAATTTATACCAGCTAAGAATAGTCATAGGGGAAAATTGATCAGGTATGGACTTCTTATGCACACGGCTTAACAAAGAAGATTCTTACTGGGGCACCACACTGTTTCTTAACCTAGTCGACTGCTGTCATGCCACAAAACACAGCTTCTGGTATAAAACATTTATTGTCATCCTGCCAGGAACACTCTACCTGTGTCTAATTCTGGTTTACAACCTTGTTTGTTCTGTCTGTTGACCTCTGCCCTTTCCTCTCCACTTGGGCCCAATATCTACATAGACACCAATCTTTCCCTTTTTACCTCAATTGTAATTATTTGCCCTTGCTCTTGCCATTAACTACTTTGGGTTAATACATCACTGACTTACCTTTCTGTGTGGCCCCTGACCTGTGTATATGACCCCAACATGAAACATTAAAGCAAGAATCCATCTAAATCTGTCCAAAATAATGCTGCACCTAGGTCATGAAAGGCCTTACCAGGTACTTACTGCTTTTCACTTACTCATTATGACCAACAGTCCTTGGGGACTTTGGTGTGAAGAGTTACATGGGAACTACAGCGCTACCTAAATAAACAACTGAACCTGCTAATGTCTTTATTTTACTATTTTTTCTTTATTAAGTTCTCCTGTACCTTACCACCATACCTGTTTGCAAAGTAAAACTTTAAAATAGTTTTTTCTCATTTTAAGATATCGCATTCTCAATTGTAAATTAATTTTTCTGATCGAATATAATCCATATTCTTTGTAATTTCTATTCATCACAAAATACATTTTTAAGTTTTAGGCAACTTTTAAAAATTTCAATGCTATGAAAGAATATCCTCAATACACCTATTGATTTACTTATCATTCAACTTTGGATTAGAGGTAACTAATATTGTCTTTATTAAGAAAGAGACAGACATATATGTTTTACGCATTGAATTAATAGTCAGGTCTTACTTTGTTCATTTTTACTATCTTCAAGTATCTTAAAATTCTTTACAATTCATTCTTTATAATTCATATCTGATTTTCTGTTGGCATCGACTAGGTATAATGAAGTAAATATGAAAAGTTTAAAAACTGATTGTGTCCAAGTGATAAGGGTTGTCAGGGAAAGCACTTGCATTTTTCTAATAACAAATAACTCTGTTCATCTTTCTATGATCATATTTCTATGTGAGTATCAGGCATTATTACATTTCCTTGGGTGAAATATCAATTCAAATCTTGCAACTTTAGTGACTAGCTTGTTCACTGTATTACTTTCAGGGTACAGTTTCTTTTTGTATATTTTGGACACATGTCATTTATCAAATATATGTTTCATAATTATTTTTCCAGATTCTTGCTTGCCTTTCAGTTTCTAATGATATATTTTATATGCACATTTTTACTAATATAGTAATTTTAATTAGAGAGTTTAATTTTAAAGGCCATTAAAAAAAGAAATTTATTGCCCTATTATACTTATCCAGATTTTCAACTGCATCTTAAAAATGCAAAAGATATGAATCAATGCTGAGTTAAAATAAGTATTAGGAATTTTTAAAAGACTCACAAATAAGCTATAGAAGAAATTCATATTATCAATGAACAAATGAAAATATCCAAAGCCGTATTTATTAATTCAAGTTATGAAAACAGAAACAAGCCATAAGCACGTCACATCTCCAAGAGTAGAATAAAAGATATAAGTCTGATAGCCATGGTCTTGAACTAATGGAGTAGTGGATGCTATTCACATAGCTGGTAAGAGTAACATTTGAAAAGTGAATCAGTGATGTTAAAGTAAAATACACTCAATGTTTCACCACAGAACAAAACCTCAGGAGTGTCCCCACACTCTACTCATGAACCCTCTGCTCATTATGCACAGACTCTAAAGACTAAAATACCTCCAGGCTATAAACTCAGGACTGGGTATTTCCATATCAAATGGAAGCATAATCGAAAAGGAGGAAAATTAATATTTACAGGCAGCACCCTATCTTGTTAACTGACTCAGATGAAGCATTTCATCTTTAGGTAAGTGTTATTATATTACAAGTCATATTTTAATGGAATCTCAATTCAGTGTCCTCTGATGTGTTTCCACTGAAATTTTCCTATAAGTACCTTTCATTCATGGGAATGAATAGAACCAACTACAGATTGTTAAGTACCTGTGTTAGTGATACTAAATGGATAAAGGCATTCTTGGAGATGGTAAGATGAGAATAAATATCTTCATTTACATGCTGTTTGGAATTAAATCAGCTGGCCAGTCTGGGAAGCTCTTAAGAACAAAAATGGTCTTGGAAATGAGTGTTCATAACTTATCAACTTTTTCTCAGTCCTATAACTCTTGACTTTCCTCTAGTCTAGAGAACTGTAAGGGGCTATGTTGAGCCTTTCTGGGTGCTTAGCTCTATGTATGACCTCTGAATACAAGATGTCAAAGAAGGCAGGGATCCGCTCATCCAAGGTGTAATGATCAAAACTATTCCCAGACACTGACAAATGTCCCCTTCAAGTGGGAACATTGTTTTCAAATTACATGGTAGTAAAATCTATGGCCCATGCCATATTAACAGTATTTTCTGATGTATTCCAATATTTATCATGGTGTTTCTAGAAGCCTCTCAAACTTAGGCTAAAATGAAAATCAAATTGAAATTATGGCTAGTATTGTAAGGTGAGGGAAACTAGAGCTTGTTTCTCTATGACATCAAATAGAGGGGTTGGATCACCCCTGGTGGAGAACTCCTACTTTAGGATTGAAAGTACATGCACACAGCATTGGAGCTGCTTTGTCTTTTTGGAATAATGCCTACAACTTGGGCTACAGAGGCCAACGGAATTTGCCTAACAGAGGGAAGCTGGAACTTGACAAGGTGCTTCACTGGCATGTGGGGAAACAGATTCCAGTGCTCAAATGCCATACTGGGATGAGCACAAATCTACTATAATCTGTAGTCACAAGCATCCTGAGTTTAAAGAGAAAGCAAGGGGCTGCTATCCTGCATGTACTTCAGTCCAAATTTCTAGCATTTCCTTAGGGTCCATGAAAATACATTTAAACATTTTAAAACACCCCAACATCATTATAATGAAAGCGATAAGATGTCCAAAATGTAAAAATTTGTCAGCCTCACTAACCATTAAGTGTTCATTAAAAGTTAATTAATATGAAAATGAGTTGTAGGTCAGATTTTATTAATTTAAAAATTCCCTTTCAAATAAACTATAACTATAAATTAAACTACTGACTCCTAAAATAGTTTCAATTTCTTTTCATATTTTACTTTGCCCCCAAATAAACATTTTCTTTTATATACAGATATCACTTAAAGGGTTTGTGATCATAGGAATGTGCTCAAAAGGTGACCACAGAAAACAATCTTAAGGACCTTAAAATGTCCTTGGAGGCATTTTTCTTTCATCAGTGTCAAAGAATCTGGAACCTGATTTCTTGCTTCAAACAAACAAACAAACAAATAAACAGATAGACAGACAGTCCTCCCTCCCATTTTTCTTCCCTCTCCACACCAGTTGCCCTTTTATACTTCCCTGGGTTCCACAAGAACTATAAATTAGACACCGTGTCTAAAGATCCAATGCCAAGATCCTCATGAGAGACATGAGCCTTTTGTCTTCTTCAGTCTGGGTTAAGCTCATCCAGTATAATATTTCCCAGATCCAATCGTTTTCCTGCAACTTCCATAATTCCATTGTGTGAAAGCACCACATTTTATTATCCATCCATCAGTTGAGGGACACGTAGGTTGTATGAAATTCTCAAATAACTAATACAAATTTTAAAAATATGATGGCTTTGAAGGCATTAATTAGACAAGAGACAAAGAATAACAGTGTTCCACAGGAAATAGAGCCAACAGGTGACTTCCTGCTTACAGTCTTGGAAGAGTCATGAGACCCTGTGTGGTTAAGGAAGTGCAGAGACATGTGGCTGGTGCTCTTCTTAGTCTGAACGGAGTTAGGATGTGGGGAGGCTGAAATAACCTGGGTTCTGCAGCCTAGGTGTGTAGACAACATGAGATTCTCCCAGGCTTCAGCAGAATAATGATAAGCATGTGCACAAGAGGAAGCTATTCAAGGCCCAATTAAACTGGTAGAAATGAGAAGACCAAGAGACTCTCAGAGCTCACACACAGCCAAGCCTTCTCACCAAAGTAAGTAGAAAAGATTCCCAACTCTCCAGCCGTTTGCAAGAGTACATGGTTAACAGGTAAATTAACTCCAGTACAAAAACACGCCTCACCCAGAAGCCACAGATGGTGGTGGGTAGTGATCCCATGCAGTGTGCATTTTTGGTTGTTGATGTTTGTTAGTTTTTGCATTTTACAACACTAAATATTTATAGAGTCCTGATGGGGGAAGTCCTTCTGTGTATATGCTGTCCTACTGGTTGATTAATAAAGCACTGTTGGCCAACAGGGAAGCAAGATAGGTGGAAGTAGAAGTTTTGGAGGATTCTGGGAAACAGAGCAACAGGCAGTCATGATGTAGGATGCTGGAGAAATAGGAGGTCCAGATCCTTTTCTCCAGTAAGAGAAGACCTGTGGAAATACTCAGATTAGTAGTTACTGGTTAATAATTAAGTCAGAGCTAGCCAATAAGAAACCAAGCAAACAGCCAACAGCTTTATAATTAATATGGTGTTCCTGTGTTATTTGAGGGCTGAGATAGCTCAGGACCCAGGTGGCTGGCGGGAAGACTACACGTTACAGACTCCTTTGACTTATCATGCTTTGGCTAACATTAGGGCAATTGAATGGCTTTTCCTTTTCATACATCCTTGACAAAATAAGCATGTGTGACAGCAGAACCCATGGCTCAGGTCTTCAAAACAGCA